ACTAGGACGGTGATCAGCCGCTCCTAACATGGAGAACAGACGCCGTTTTGAGCCGCACCTCCATGGTGAGCAGACGCTCAGGTTTGGTGAAGCATTTCCTCTATCACCGTACTATGGTTACCGCGCCAGTGTTCGCGTCGCACCTCTTCACTTTGCTATTGCCGGACTGGCAACATTGCCCAGGCTACGCCAACCAGCTGTGTCCATGTTTCAGCTGGTAGTCTTTTGTTATCATATGACTCGAGGAGGCGTGAAGTAGGAACTTGTGAGGACCAGGGCTAGGTATTCCGCTCCTTCCAGGTTGTCAACTCACCATTTTGTAGCCTGAGTATGTCTTAAAAATTTTAGTAGTTCTATATAATTCTAATATTACTCGGAGATTGATCTTCCAATTTCATTCTTGACATCATTCAACTCACAACACTCGGTAGACCAGTGGGAAATTTTATTTCAAGCTAAAATTCTCCTGGCTGAGGTGAGAATCAAAGCCTAACATCGTGGTACTCACGCACAGTTTTCCTACACTACGGGTTACTCCACATGACCATTACAAATAATTTTAAATAATAGAAAGAATAACATTATTATATAACTAAAATGAAAGTCTGAAAGTCTCAGGATCTTGAAATGATTCTAAATTCTGGAATTAATATTTTTCCTGGGTCCCAGATAGTGAATTTTTTTGGTAATCTGAATGTACTTCATTTACAGAGTTCAATTTTAATCATCCTAGAATTTCATCATACTTCTATTCTGGTTTCCCCTAAACTGATCTTGATAATATCCAAACTTTTTCAGTAACATTCTAAGAGTGCTTAGCATTATCTCTTGTAATCTCTTATAAATCGCTCTCTGATTCCACAGTTCCCTCAAACTGCAATTTCCAAGAATTGGCATAATTTTGTCTCAATTTTTCTCCATGACATTCCCATAGAATATTCTTGATAACTTCCTTGGTACGCTCTTCAGAATGATTGTCACATTCTTTTCAGACGTATCCTCTTCAGTATACTCTAAGTACTCAAGTACTTTGCCAAAATAGCCTTGAAAGTTTCCCAGAAATTGCCACACTGTGTAGAGTGACCAACCCCTTGGGCGGCGGTCAAAATCAGACCAAGGAATCAGATAGTCTAAACGGACCTTAAGTTACCTGACAGAGACCTGGTGACCAACCAGACCGAAGATGATGGCCGCTTGGAGCGTCGACTCAGTTACATGTCGGGGCGTAGGATGCCATGCTATCAATGTTGCTGAAAGAGAACTGATATTCAAACCGATCGATGGACAGATGAGGGTCGGTGGGAGCATCGACTACACTAGACGTCGAAATCGTAGGATGCCTTGCATGCCAAGCTGACAGAGATCTGGTGTTGAACCAGACCAAAGGATAGATGAAGGCAGCTGGGAGCGTTGACTCAGATAGACATCGGAAGCGTAGGATGCCATGCTGATAGCGAGCTGGTGTTTATTCAGTCCGATGGGCAGATGACGACCGCTGAGAGCGTAGGAACAGCTAATCGTCGGAAGCATAGGATGCCAAACCATCAATCATGTGGATCTGGAACCATTTGTTGGAAAAACGATTAGGGGCGCAGTATCACTGGCGGCTTCGGCCAGACATATACCAGTCTATAAGATATGGCCGCTGGCGATTTAGGTCAACGTAGATAGTGCGAGATACGAAGCTTTAGATGTCGTTTGATGTTCGCCTTGAACAAATCGATGGTTTGCTGTTGTTTGATTACTGATGGGATCTCGTTGTACAGTTTACCACCATGGTAAACAAAACGTTGAATCTACTGGATCTTTCTGAGAGGTTCATTGTGACTGTCATGTTGTGATGTGTGGCAGGATTTGTTACAATTTTTTGCATGTGTATTAATGTCTGCAATACTTGAAGTCGTCGAATTGGTAAAAGCGAATTCTGCAGGTCATTGTACAGCTGTTCCATTGGGTAAAGCAACGGTTTTGTAGTATCTGAAGTTCTCGTAGCCTGAACATGATTGTGGTTCCCCATAAACCCACTAAATATTGTAGTCCCCATAAGCCCACTAAATATTGTAATCACAAATTACACGAAGGGTGCCAGACGGCGGCCGTCCAGTCATCTAGTTTCAGATCCACGTGGTTAATAATAACATTTAATTGTCGGCTTCGCCGATGACATCAACAGCATGGCACGGAACATTCAGACGATGGCGGAAACGTTCCTACATCAGACTGAAGGCTGAAGCTAGGCGGATTTGACTTGCCAGCAACGCATCGAAAACATGAGAAGAAGAGGTTCTAGGGAAGACAATGTTAGCCTCCCACCCCGAGTTCAGATTGACGGTGACGAAATCGAGGTGGTCGACGAGTTCGTGTATTTGAGCTCACTGGTCACCGCAGTGACGCATTATGGCAGGGAATCGTGCCTACTTTGGACTCCGGAGGACGCTACGGTCGAATAAAATTCGCCGCCGCACGAAGGTGACTAAGTACAAGACACAGATTAGACCGGTAGTCCTCTCACGAGACCTGGACTATGCTCGTGAAGGACCAACGCGCCCTTGGTGTTTTCGAACGGAAGGTGTTCCGTACCAACTACGGTGGAGTGCAGATGGATGACGGAACGTGGAGGAGGCGAATGAACCAAAAATTGCACCAGCTGCTGGGAGATCCATCCATCGGCATCATTGCAAAAAAATGGGCGACTACGGTGGGCTGGGCACGTCGTAAGAATGCCGCACGACGACCCAGTGAAAATGGCTATCGAAAGTCCAACAGGAATAAGAAGAAGAGGCGCGCAGCGAGCAAGGTGAATCGATCAAGTAGCAAGCGACCTGCGGACCCTTCACAGACTACGAGGCTGGTGAAGTGTGGCCATGGATCGAGAAAAGTGGAGACGACTTCTTCAGACGGCTAAAGACAACAAGGCCTTAGCCTGATTGGTAAGGTAAGAGATATGTAGAAAACTTCAGAATTTTTTTGGGTTTTGAGAATTTCAGGGTTCCGACCCCGGCGTAATGGTTAGCATCCATACCTCTCACACCAAAGTCACGAGTTCAAATCTCACCCCGGACAAGCCACGAATGACTCAAGAGCGTTAAAGTGAATAATAAAAAAAAAAGACTTCAGGAAAATTATTAAAGGTCCTAGACTTCCAACAAACATTGTAAGAACTTAGAGAAGATCCATGATTATTAGGACAATTGTGGGAATTTTAGGGACGTCCAAAGAAGTTCAGGGAAGTTAAAATATTTTAAGGTAAGTACCGCGAGCATCAGGGTAGGTAGTTTCAAAAACTTTGAAAGAAGTTCAAGACAGTTCCGCTGACTTCAATGAAGTCCTGAGAATTTCAGGGAAGTCCAGATATCTTCGAGGATGTCCAGAGAAATTCACGATAGTTTTGAGATCTTTTGGGAATGACATGAAACTTCAGGCAGTTCAGAGCCCTTATGGAAAATTCCACGGGGGGAATGGGGGTTCTGTTCTATTAACATTTGTGACGTCATTTGTGATTAGCCCCGGTCCCTTTAAAATTGTGTCATTATTTATGAACGGACCTTAAATTTGACTTTGACGGTGGTTGTCAAAATGACGTTTCACATTCATCTAGTGTAAAGAGCCTGAATTTATAAAGAGGCGACATCTTATGCATTTGACAGGTCTTCTGCTCGATTGGAATGACTTTTCCTATGTCTTTGACAGGTAATCGATTGTTCCAATTTTGACATGTCGTCTCTTTCTAAATTCCTGGGGGGGGGGGGACGTGCTGTCAAATCAGCCTACTGATCAATCTTGTATGAAACTGGTTCCAAACGTAAACAAACGCTGTAGGTTTTTTATGGCTTGTTTACGTTTGGAACCAGTTATGCGAGGTAGGCGAAGATTGTTCGTATTTGACAGCCACCTCCCTTGATAAATTCAGGCCCTTTAATCTAGTGAGGTCCGATTTTGAATTGAAAAATAAATTATTTTTATTCGGTTGTATAATGCTAAGTACACACTAAAAAAATCACATATCACCATTATGTGTCTTAAGAGATGAACTAGCCTCAGGCTAAAAATCTCTATAATAAAAAAAAAAAAAAAAAAAAAAAAACATTATGTGTCTCACACTCAATTTTGCACTCATTGTGAAACAAATCCATTTTATTTGTGAATCTTATGCTATGAACTATGGCTGAATACTATTGTTTCGAATTGTGACGCACTTGGGTTATGTGTGTCTCGCATGGTAATATCAATAGCTTTGCAGATCTATAGTTCAATGTTCGTCAATATTCTAAAATTCGATTTCTACTTTACCCACTTTAAAAATGATTTGACAAATAAACAAAGCTGCGAGAGGGCAGAGCATACACTTGCCTTTTTTAATGGGTTTGATTTGGGCTTTTATCGTTAACTGTGGTGTCTGCACTGGAATTCTAAGGAATGTTCATACTTTGTTCATGTGAATTTTCAGTAGAATTAAGAAAGAAAATTTCAGCGAATTCTTGAGAAAATCATATAAAATCTAAAATAAAACCGAAGGTAGATTTAGAGAAATCATAAAAGCAGTGCTGCGTGATCTGAGGATTTTCTTGACTGATGAATGATTATTCATGGAATAGTTTATTTCCAATAACTTTTATTAAATAATTATGAAATTATGTGAGGCATACATTTAAGATTAATGATTTCATCTCTAAAAGCTCATGATTAGTGAGGATGATTAAAAATTCATATTCATTTATCACTACCGATTTGGTCAAGATTGATTGATTCTCTTACTGCATCATAACATCGCAGAATTTCCTTATAACAATGTCAAAACTCGCACTTCTATTACATTTCGATCGAGTTCATTAGAATTTCATCACTTAAATTTGAATTTCATCACTTAACCTTTAATTTCATCCCATAAAATGCACGATCATTGTGCTTATGACATAACGTGACTCGGTGCAATTTTTCTTCAACCTTTTGTGCAAAATATGTATTGCATGAACCTTTCCAACACATTCGATTCTACTTACATTTATTCCAACTAGCTTGGTCCGCTTCACCGCTACTACTGTCTGCTTTGTTCTTTCACTGATTGTTAACTTGTCGAAGCGGAAACTATTTCCAGTATGGAATGAATCGTCACTGTTTAAATTGATGGAATTATTTCCTCCGAGCAGAGCTGTATTTATTTACAGTGATAAAAGAAATTCTCGCGTAGGCCGGTACTTTGGCTTGTTTTCGCTGTTGCACACCAAGTCGTTCTGAAATATCAAGATGTTGATAATCGTTAACCAACGCACCAACACTATGCAAGCGGTCGCACCAAGTGTGGGTCGAAAATAACGTGACAGCTAGAATTGCTAATGCAAACAGCTAAATGATTGTTGTTGTTTCAGTTTTGGTTTGCCGCAGACCGGCCGGCAAATTTGATGAATTTTGAATGTTGAACGAATGCACAGTAGGGTGCTTCATTCTGAAAAAAATGATGAATTTCTGATGGGCCACCCTCCAGTTCGATTCATAGCCCCAAAATATGAACCTGTGCAAAAATTGGTAAAGATTGATGAAGGTTTAGAGGTCGCGCCAATGATTTGAAATTTGTATGGGAATTACTATGGAAGAATTTAAAAAATCGCTTATATCGCTATAACTTTGCTTCTACTTGTCCAAATGTCGAAAAAATTTAGTATGTTATTGCTATGGCAATAAACAAAAAGCCTACAGTTGCTACGCTCAGTTTTGCAGCGTATCAAGAATTATAAAAATGTGAAAAAATGGCAAAATAGGGTAAATTGACAGATGAATATGTACAAGGCAACAACGCCAATTTCATCGCAACAACAACAGGCTTGTGATCATTGTCATGACAACCACATATTTTTTTTTTTCAACGTTTGGACAACTACAACCAAAGTTAGAGCAACGTAAACGAAAATCAATAATTTCCCATACTAATTCACCAAAATCTCCATACAAAATCCAAATCATTGGCGCGACCTCTAAACCTTCATCAATCTTTACCATTTTTTGCACAGGTTCATATTTTGGGGCTATGAATCGAACTGGAGGGTGGCCTATCAAAAATTCATCACTTTTTTCAAAATGAAACACCCTAATGCACAGCTGCAAATGTTTCAATTTAGGTTAAGTTCATGATTAAGTAAGCGATGTTGATCATGATATCATAAGTTTAGTGTTTCATGCGTGAGCTTTTGCGCAGTTTTAGAGTATTTTTTTTTTTACCGTGGATTAAAACTCATTCAGGCAAACCAACAGCAGCTTCTGGTAGAGGAAGATAGTGTAGCTATATTGTATGGGTGTATTGTGACTAAGCACAACCCGCAATTTACCTTTTTTGTTTTAACGGATTTGATAAAAGAAGAGAAAGGTTCTACTATAGATTACTTCTAGATTCATTTACTTTTCCATATGAACCGTTGGATTTCAAAAAAGATAAAGAATACAAAATTAGGGTAGGTGTTCCAGTAATACATAGTGGTACCTATAGTTGCGGTATGGAGGTTGTGCCGGAATAGTAAGGAGGACCCGGATAAGATTATTTTTCATCGGTAGCTGTCCTAAAATAAAGCATATTTGCAAATTTCAAACTTAAAATTAGCCCAAAAATTGCGGAAAATCATTAATTTTCCTTAAGATTTTCACTCCTTTGCACCTATAGTTGCGATAGTGTTCCTATAATAGTGGAACTCATAAGAAACCAATGCATTCCAGGAACCAAAGTTAGCAACTACTACAACTACTGGACCAGTGTTCCTATTAATGGAGGATGAGTTTTCTAAAATTGTATGCAATTTTATTACAGTGTAATATTTTTCTATCAAAATAGAGATTGAAAGCTATAGATTGACGTATAGCAATTGTGTGTTTATCGTATATTTATTGTTTAGTTAACAAATTGGCTTAGTACCTCCAGTACTGGCTCACCCACCCTAATAGATTTTGTTAAAAATACAACACTATTTCTAAATTCCCAATTCGTCCATAATTACTGCACATAAAGTTACTGACGAGGCTCGGTAGCTCAGTGGTTACCGTTTCTGCTTACTGAGCAGAAGGTCGGGAGTTCAATCCCAGGCCCGTCCCCTTCCTTGCAATTTTTCACTTTGCCTTATTCTATACCCACTAGATTTTAATGAAAACAAATTCTTCTTTAACACCGATCGCATCACTTTACCACAGTGTGGGTCCTGATCTAAAAATAGAAATTGGATGAGTGCGCGCGCGTGTGTGTGTGTGTGTGTTTGTGTATTATAATCGCTTTACCAAAACGATCCCTGCGTGTGCGTGCAACCTTTCCCCACATCCAACATCCCAGTGATTTCTCGTGGAAGCGCAGAGGATTTCTCGGTTTCCTTCACAGCGAGTATCACGTCAACACATTCCTTCCCATTCCCTAGTTGACCTGCATTCGGACACGGCCGGCGCTGGTATTGCTAAATATTAGATCTCCAGTTCTTACACATTGAGGATGAATGTTAGTCCCAAACATCATCTGTTGGTTCTCTGTGTAATTGCAGCTGATCTGGTAATAACAGAGCAGCAACCGTGGGCGGTCAAACTGAAAAAAAAAAAAAAAAAAAAAAAAAAAAAAAATTACTGCACATAAAGTTACACCCACTACCCAGCTACGGCGGTTTGCTCATGAACCCGCTATTTCAAGGAGGGATTTTTCTCAAATTTCCTCTCCAAGGGCTGGAGACGACGAGCTGCCATTGGATAGCTAGCCGGAAAATCTGGATTCTCGTTTCGCCATAGAAGACCGGTCTCAAAACCACGATTCGTTCGTCTTGTTGTTTGCTCCAGAATCTTTCTCACTCGCATTTATTCTACTGACTATAGAGTTTCGTAGTGCCCAGTAACATCTTCCAGGGTGAATTAGTCCCGTAAGTTGACCCCTGCTTTCTGCATAGATGAACCGGCCAAACACCCATAAACGCTCCAGCATAGGCGACATTTGGCATCTACCGGATCCGTTGGCCCACCTTCACAAAGCTTCAGTGGAACACCCTGAACAATCGAATGAATAGTTTTGGCTGGACTAGATCACAATCTTCCAACGGAAGCCCTCGCAAGTGAGGATACTGTTGGCAGAGTTCCTTGTACCTCAATGTTTGCGATGGGAGCACCAGACAAAGTAATTCCACCGGTGAAAACTAACGATTTCAAATTGGCTCACTACTTGACTAGCCTATTGGTCCCAAGCAAACGATTAACGTACCCCATTATAGTCGAAATTCTAGTACTACACTATGTTTGTTTTGATTCGCTATGAAAGTTTGACAGATAAAATGAGGGGTTCGTGGATTTCCCTATGTTTCAAGGGGTGCATCGACTAGCTTGGGATCGGAGAGAGTACCAGAGCTGAGCCAAAAAGTTGAGCACATTTCTGTGGGACCTTCTTGTCTTAGAGTTACCTCTATGGTAATTCTCGTTGAAACCAGGCCATCATTAACACATGGTCTTAAATATTAAATAAATTCGCTTGATTGGTTGAAACTGATGAAAAAATGAGGTTGCCACTTCCTTAGCTCAAATTAATAGGCCCCTCACTCGCCAAGGGGCATTACAATTAAAAAAAAAAAATTAATTTTTAGCAATTATTGACATATTTATCATGGTTAATCTTTGAAATTTCATATGGAACCCTCCTGCAAACAACACGTTATTATGAAGAGGAAAGATATAGTTTTCATGCGGAATGGATTTTTTTGCGGCCATTTTGGATTTGGCCGCCATTTTTTTTTTTCTTTATTAGAGTGACTTTCAGCCAGTAGCTGGATCGTCACTTGGCCATGGATTTTATCAGAAAAACGTATTTTTCACTATTTACACCGATTTTGATTCTGAGGTCACTATCTGAAAGCTGGGAAAAAATCTATCAGATACACTCAACATATTAGGTGAGACAACAACCCCATGAAGCAACATTTTTTCTATATTGAGGTTCACAATTTTCCGCGCATGACGCTCCATCAACGTCAAAGCAGCGTCAGTGTAAGACGAACATGAACATGGGCAAGAAAAAATCTTGGAGGGGACGTGGGAGGGAAGGTTCAATTTTTGCAACAACAAAAATTTTGTAATAAAGGGCGACACATTCAACAGGGCATAACTTTTTTACCATTGGGTAAAAATCAACCAAATGTTGCACACTTTCTCATTGATGCGTATTGTGTACATGCTGTCAAACTGGAAGTCGTGTTTTTCGATTCAACGAAAATGGAGGTGAACCAACGCGAGTTGAGAGAACAAATTCTTTCCAAACACCTGGAATTTCCTGACCTGTCGCACCGGCAGTTGGGAAAAATGTTGAACATTCACCATTCAACCGTCTCCAGAGTGTTGAAGCGGTTCCAGGAGCGGTTGAAGTTGGACCACGGCAAAGGAGCTGGAAGAAAACCGGAACCGGAGAACAAAAAGACGGAGGGAAAGGTGAAGCGGATGATTAAAGCAAATCCCAACGTCTCAAGCCGTGATTTGGCTAAAAAGATCGGCATGTCGCAGAGCTACGTCCAGAATGCAAAGAAGAGAGCTGAACTACATACATACAAGGTACAGAACTTCCCAAACCGCGATGAGCGGCAACAATCGACGGCTAAAACTCGGGCACGGAAGCTCTACGAGAAGATGCTGACAAAATATGGCTGCTGTGTGATGGACGACGAAACGTATATAAAAGCCGATTTTAAGCAAATTCCGGGGTTGGAGTTTTTCACCGGCAAGAGCAAGTTCGATGTGGACGACAAATTTAAGAAGAAGAAAATGTCGAAGTTCGCCTCCAAATATCTCATTTGGCAGACCATCTGCTCTTGTGGACTGAGGAGTGAGCCTTTCGTGACAAAGGGCACAGTAAATGGCGAGATCTACAAATCTGAGTGCCTCGAGAAGCGCCTTTTGCCGTTCTTGCAGCAGCACGACAAAGCTCCGCTATTTCGGCCAGATTTGGCATCATGCCACTATTCTAAAAGTGTCCTGGAGTGGTATGAGGCCAATTCTGTCCATTTTGTTCCAAAGGACATGAATCCGCCAAACTATCCGGAGCTGCGCCCGGTGGAGCAGTACTGGGCAATAATGAAGCAGGAACTTCGGAAGAGCAAGAAGACAGTCAAAGACGAGAAGGACATGTTAAGAAAATGAAAAAAAAAAGGGTTGTGTACTAGACACGACCGCAGTATGACGTAGAACCTATCTATCTATCTCTATCTATGATGCATGATATATGCATTTAGGTTAACAT